CGACTACTGAAGACTTTTGATATTATAGACATATTTTTTGGAGTTCTGTAATATAATTTTAGTTGAAGTGTTACTTCCTGATCTACTTCTACTCGCACGTTTGTATTTCCATATTTTTAAATCGATTTTCAATCCATGATAAAGATAAAAATTTACTTAAGCTGTAAAATACTTGTAACCGATTTATATTTCTATTCTAGCTCTTTTCTACGTACGTTATACTCCCAGACCATTAAGCTGAAGTGTTGCCTCTGTTTTATGAAAATTCGAACTTTAACAGCTCTAAAAAATAGTTTTAACAATAAAAACAACTCAATTGCCAGCAAACAGCAGCGCTTACTTTGGACTCATTACTGTCCAGCACTTGAATACAATCCAAAGAGCAGCTGCTCTCCAATAGCTCGCCCGAATAATGGCAAAGTAAATAAACAGGGGCAATTACAATGCTTATCGGCAATTAAAGACACTCCTCGCGAAACGGAAGCCCCCGGCAGAATGCAAAAATGCAAAATGCAAAATGCAAACAATTCAACGAGTTGAATGTTTATAAAGAACAAACTTAATGCGCTCCACTCGCCAAGCCAAAGTTCTAATCATTCACTGCACGAGGCATGCAACAGCACGAAAAAAAAGTAGAAAAAAGAGAGAGAGAGAGGGGGAGAGAGAAACTAGGAAGCAAACTTGTCGTTAATTGCAATACAAAATGCTGCAAAGGGCGCACATTACAATTGCCTGACTGTAATTGTTGCACTTTATGCAGTTTAACGCACAGCCAACTTTTCAATTGTTGCGACATTTTTATTGCGTAATTTATGCAACACCATACAGGAGTAATAAAAGTGTACGAGACTAGAAGATATCCTCTACGAATATAATAATATGCATACTCAAAATATGTGCGACTGTTTGTTGAGGAATTCAAGTGGAACAAATTGATATAATTGAAATGAATATTCGCTGAATTTCAGTAGTTGCGGGAGTCTATTCAATTTCTTAGAAGATGAAGTACGCAGTACTCATTAATACTCTATTCATTTCTAATAGGTCCTGAGATAAAGGAGGTCATGCTTACTGATCGATAGCCAGCTAAGCAGAACGAATCAACTCTCTAGCCTCTAGACTCCGTGATCAATGAGTATAGTCAAACGAAATTCATAGATTACTTGTGATGGAATTTTATTAGTCCAATACTTAAACTAAATTAGATTTAAATAAGTTATTCACAGAGCAATAAATGAATAGACTGTTCATAGCGACAGCATGAAATCCACTTGACTCCATCGAGTACCTGTGATCAACGCATATAGACAGAGAATATATGTGACTCGACTATGTGAACTACTATGTATGTGGTCCGTATAGTTTAGTTCTTACATCAAATGAAGTATGCAAAAGAGCTCCAGAGATATTCAATCAAACAGAGAGTATAAAATAATTTCACAGTTGTTACTATAAAGGATAGAAATTAACTTTCATAATTGAATACCATATACCCTCATTTAGAAGCTTCAGCTCTACAAGAGGTATACGAAGGGAGAATGAACGTGTGACCGATCGCTCCGGGACTGGACGTGCACCAAACTGGCGACAAAAAGTTTTGCAACTTGGAATAATGTACAGAGCACACACACAAACACACACACACGCACACGCAAGTGGCAGCCACAATTTAGGCATGAGAGTGTGCTTGTGCGTTGCTGACATTTTGAATTAAGTGTAGTTAATGTTGACAAACGTCAACATTATGAGGCTTGCCTGCTACAACAGCAACAGCAGCAGCAGCAAAAAAAACTGAAAAAAGTAGGAGACAAAGAACAATGCCCCACAATCTCTAACCCACTCGGATGCCACAGAATGTGCGGCAAAGTGTGGGTCTGTTTGGGGGCCGCATTGAAGTGGCATTAGGCGCTTGATTGATGAATGTTTAAGTGTTAGATTAAGATAATCGACATTTCAATAATAAAATATACGAAATGGAAACGATGCTCGTTTAATACAACGGGGGCGGCATAAATTTCAGTTGAGTGACGTGTGAAGTTGATTTAACGCATTAACGCGATGCCCAAATTGAATTCTTGAATAAACAAACAGACTGTGCCGAAAATGCGAATATATGTACAGGCTATTCTTGCGAGATTTTAGTTATAAATTATGAAATTTATGTGAGCCTTGATAACATTTTATTAAACCAAATTACGTATAGCTTTCGAGCTGCGATTGGGTTATGGCTTTAATCGAACACACGTAAAGCTCTCACAAGCTAACACATTATATTTAAACTTTATGTCTTAAATAGTTGCTAAGCTATGCTGACTACTAGCAAATTGTCAAATTAACTTAAAATACAATTGCTTTTTAAATGTCCAATTCAGAGCTTAAGACTTTTTAGTCTGGCTTGGATTATGAATATAAATATGTTTAGCTATTCTTCTATATACTTTTCCCACTCAATAATTGCTAAATTATATTATTGTTTAAACATTTTACTAATAAATTGTATATTGATGTTACTTCTTTCTTATAAAACTGCATACTACATTTTAACAGGCTACATCAAAAAGTGCCTGAGATATGCGCCCCGAATATAAGCTCAACTTTATAGCACGCTCTAAAGAGACGAGCTCTGCTTTTGTGAAGCACTTTTTTTTTTAGCTCTGCGATTTAATTGTAAGCAACTGGGTCAACAGCAATTTGGCTTTTTTGACACTTTAGTTCCTGGTTTTGCTTATTCCGGCCCCTGCTCTGCAATTCAAATCGCGACATAAATTATACAAAAATTGCATAAAAATCAACACCGAAACCCAGAAGCAATATAAACCTATTGTAACGCATGTAAAATTTAAATGCGGAGCCGGCGCTGGAAGCTACGCGAACTGGACAAATGTGCGACCAACGAGGCGTCAAGACCCCGCAGGAGACATGCAAAATATGCAGTGAACATATGTATATATATACATATATGTATGTCTGTGCATTTATAAAAAATAAAATGTGTACACATATATAAAATTGAAACATTTCTATGCGTCACGCGGCATTTGCGGCAGTTGGTGGCACGCTCTGGGCCCCGTCTCTGTCTCTGAACCTGCTTGGCCCTGGCTGGGCTCGGCATTTAACATTCGCACAGCTCAGCGAATGCGGGTTGGTAATTCAGCCATGAAGTTGCCAGACTATAGAATACCCTTCATTTTGGTTAATTAAAAAAAAATGCAATAAAACTTCAGATGTTATTTAAGGTTTTATTTTGCAATTAGTATATATTATCAACAAATTGTTACTGCCCGAATCCATACTCAATGTATCTCTTGCTTATTGAATTAACTAAAAGCAGCTAAATTTATTACTGAAGGATGCATAAACATAAACCTCCTTTAGCTGTTGCCTGAATGATTGGGCTACTTAGAAAATGCATCTAGAAGGTTGCTGACTAAAAATTGGCATGCCCTGCCTGCTCTCTTCTAGCAACAGGGTATTAAGCCCAGCGATAGATGGAAGAAAAGAAAGAATAAAAAAAAAGAAATTAAAATTGGCATGGGCTGCCAATGAATTTTGCACTGGGGCAATGTCAATGCACTTTTCGTCGTCAAACAAAAATAGACAGCGAGGGGAGTAGCTGGGGCCCGGCTAGAGATGTATTCAATCTGGCCGTCTAACTCCAAGTGGGCAAAACACTTAAAACTGAATGGGCAAATTGTGTGGAAATGCTTGTTAAGCAATGCCAACTCAATTAGCTAGAAACAAAACGTTTTGAAACTTTGAAGAAAAAAAATACTAGAAACAGAAAGCAAAACTGATGAAAGAAAAGCGCCAGCTGAGCACCAGGTTAGCTGCATAAATTAAGGCAATCAGAGATTCAATCAGATTTCAATTGAGAATACTTAATTATCTATGTATTCGATCATCCTCCAATACTTGCTGAGCTAAGACAAAATATAGAAAAGGCTAGTAAAAATGATTCGAGAAAATCGCCAGCTGAGCGCCTGATTAGCTTAACAGTATAGTCGCAGCTAACTGGCCAGTTATAATATCAATAAACCCGTTAACACTGTCCGAGAAAATTGCTGCTGCTTTAAGTCACATTTCGTATGCAACAGACAGCTGAACAATTATCTGGACTCAATGAAATTAACAATTTTGGGCTTACAAGAATAACAACAATAGAGTCTCAGAGTTTGAAAGACATAAATCGAAACGAAATATATTAAGGTTGTGTGTAAAAGATGTGTAAGAAGCATTTATAAATTTTAGTCACGCTCTGATTTCCTGTTTTCAAAGTATTGAGCATGGCTACAACAACGACAACAGCAACAACAACAATAACAACAACAACTGCAACAACGTTGTCAATTTCTATTAACACGTTTTGGTTTGAGGCGCTGTCAAAATATTGCCACCTGAAGAGCTGCAGAGCCGTGGCCTGCCAGATGAAATTGTGGCCAGATTTTGATGCCATTGATAAGAGATTGCCTGCCTGGCAGCTAGCTGCTTGGCTCGGGCCTCACCTCGGCGCGGTACGTGGCCATTGTTAGGGCCTTTGTCGCATCTGGGCGCCGGTTTATAATCCGCACGTATCCTGGCGCGGCTTAGACTGCTTTGTTTCATTGATTTTCGTTGGCCTCGCTGTCCTTCAACTTTGAGTGTGCGTGTGCGTGTGCGTGTGTGTGTGAGTGTGTGCACAACCACTCAGCGACACTTTGACTGAGATATACCTGCCCTGGAAAGGCGTCAAGGTAGAAAGTTGTTATCGATTTTACATCTCATTGTTTCTCAAATCCTCGAAAATAAAGAAAATTTATATGGCTCTCATGCTATTCTTCTTATCGATGTGCAAGATATTTTCAATGCAGCTGCGTTTATTCACATTTTATAAAAAGTATGAAATTTTATATATATAAAATCGACATCGAAATGCCCAAAAGCAAAATTAGCGTGAAGAATTTGTATACACATATTAAATCAGTTTGTTATGCAACCAAATAATTCGAAACCAAAGAATTTCGAAAGAAATTGTTTAATTAGGTACAGCAACAATTTATTCTTTCGTAGGCAAGTTCTGTAAATCCATTTGTATTTTTAAACATTAGGCTTGCGAACATAATCGATTTTACTTGATCTTATTCGACCTGGCGGTCGGCCTTTCCATCTTTTGACGTATGGCTCTTATAATTTGCTCCTTTTTCGATACGCAAACAGAACCCGAGCAGCATTTTTCCTTTTTCATACACATACCCCTGTTGCGTACAAAACCAATTTTACATTGGCACTCTGTTTTACAGGACGCACAATTTTCCCCATCATATAAAAGCTGAAAGCAGGAGCTCTCAAAGCATTTGCATTGCTCTTCCTCGTTTATGGAGCACTCTAACAAAAAATCCGGAAATATTTATAACATATAATATAAAAGAAACGCAATCGCTTACTTCTATACGAGTTGGCTTCGTGGAATGTTACAACTACCAATAGAACACCAATGAACAGCAATGCATTGGCCTTCAAAAATATCATCGTACTGCTTCGGCTTGAACTCGAATTAAATATAATTGTGGATCAACTGAAAGTGAACTCTGTATTTTCACAATTACAAAGCCTAACTAACCGCAGACTAATTGGCTTGAATAATTACTGAGCCAAATCAATTTGCTACACAATTTTTTAGATGTCTTACGAATTATTTTTATAGCACGCCAAAGTGCTTTTTGGCTTCCAGTTCTTTTTAAACCATACAAACATTTGTATACTCTTAAAAAATCTCCGAATTTCTATTATGATCAATATGAAATTTTCGGAATATTTAAATAATATGGTAAGATATGTGCATACGAAATTTGATTTAATATAGATATATTTTCAGTGGTATGTAATTAGTATGGTGGAAATAGTTTACATGGCCTATAGTAGTAGTTAAAATTGTATATAAAACTCATTTGTAACAGTTTAATGCGTAACTAAAGGTGTATAATCAAATTATAATTAAATTATATTTGTGGAAGGTATTTGAGAATACACATACTAAATTTGGTTAGTCTACCTTTTATAGTTACTCAGATCGGTTGGATTTTGGTTCATGTTAGGTTTAACTTTTATAATCTCCAATGCGCGTAGACTGGCTTTTACTTAAGCCAGTTTATAAATACCGATGAAAAAGTATTTGTTTGCAGGCTGATTGATACCCAGTACTATTACTTAAAGATTTCAAAATATATACAACTCCATACAACACCCATACATACCAATCCCTTAACAACTGAACAACTAACAAAGATGACCCCGCAAACATCGAGTGCGCTGCGGCTCATTAAGAATCTTGCTTGGTGGCCTTCAAGGGAAATCACTGATAATAATAAAGAAAAATAATATAGAAAAAACGTATTGTAAATTGAATGAAATTCCATTGTATTATGCAGAGCCAAGGGCTGTTTTTAATCTGGTGTTGGTTGTTGTTTACTTTGTACGGGCAAATGTATTTGCTTTAATAGTGAAAATATCCATTAATTATGAAATGCTTGAACTAAGAATAGAACAACAAATTCATTAATAAATGAATCGAATTGGATTTTTGGTTTTGCTAATTAAAATTGTTATATGGCAACATAATTTAAGACGGTTTCTTCTCAAGATACTTTCCAAATTGTATTCAGGGAAACAAAGCAAAGCTGCAAAACATATCATATATTTTCATATAGTTTGCAGACTATTTTCATTCGACTTTTGTAATGTTTCTTGAGAACACATTTCTTAACTCAAGCTTGTTCCCAAGATTCTGTCGAAACGATAAGTGCAAGAGCAGAGTAGAAAGAAGAATCGCTTCCGTTTGGTTTCAGTTGCAGTTGCATTTTGGATGTGGCTGCTGCGGCGGCTCTTGGTGCTACTTACGGACCGGGTGGCAGATCTGAACTCACACTTTGTCAACATGTGTTCAACATGATCACAAACAAGCCGGCTATTACCAGACATCAACATAAACATTAGCAATCCCAAACGCAATAGAGAACTCAGAGTGCTCTATAAAAAAGTGCATGACCAGAAAATACCCTATAGACAGCTTCACAAAATGCATTTGTAACACTTTAAAGATTTTTCTAACAACAAAATACTGTCTATCACATAAATTTGCCACACCCATTTAACACGAATACAGGGTATAACAAAACAGAGCAGCGAATGCAATTTATGCTGTAGTAGGGCATATTCGAGAATGGGGGCTTGCCAAGCTGAACTGATTTTGTTGTTGGGCCTTGGGCCTGTCCACTTGAGAGGCGCATGCTAAATATGTGAACACATTTTTGTAACATATTCAACAGATTTCCGTCTGCTGCTGCTGCTGCTGCTGCATCTTAATGTGTGGCATTTCGTGGCACTCTAAGTGATATATAATAGGGCGTTGAAATGAATTCGAGCCGTTTCTCTATGCTCTATGCGTATGGATGCTCTATTGTTTCAAAGTGATGAATTGCTGGGCACTGTGCTGCCAAAGTTTGATGCCTGCCACTCGGCAGCTGTTTGCGGCACATCGGTCAAGATGAAAGACGAGCAGCTATTGAACCATAACAGCAGCCCAAGCTCTTACTCTTTCTACCACCATCTCTATCGCTCTCTAGCTGCCTCTGGCCTTAATGGGTTAATGCTATAAATATGCATATATGTGCATATAGTCAGTGCTTGGTTCACACTATGACATTTGGCTGGCCCGTCTGCACGTCCGTCCATTGAACATGTCTGGGAGCATTATTTACGACTTCCGTGATGAATTTTCAGTGGCCACTTCTGCAATTGCCTCCCCCCGCCCCTTGTTGTACCCTACAGACGTATGCAATCGGCATTCATAAAGTGCCTCGATTTTAAATATAAACCTCAGAGTGCGTATTTCCTATGCAATTCACGACTCCGATGTCTGCTCTGTGAATATGAGGTTAAAGTGAAAGCGAGAAAGAGAGAGAGAGAGAGAAAAAACTGCAGGCAAAAGCAGTACGGGCGGTCTGAATTATACTTGGGCAAAAGGTAAGTCTAAAGAACATGTGAAGAGTGGGAAAAAATCTTAAGGATGTGCTAGAGAGGTAGGCAGAGACAGAAAATATTGTGTGGCATACAAAACAAGAAACACAAAGCCAGACAGGATAGAAGAATCGAAATTGTTGACAGTTGAGTACGCACTCCTATAATAAATAACAAATTACAAACATTTATGACTATATTTTAAAATATAGCATTATAAAGTTAATATAATGCTTATATTTATAGCTTTATTTTATAATATATATTTTTAATTATAAGTTGATAAATAAAGGTTGATAAGTTGATAATATAAGGAGTTAGCCGTCAGCAATGCACATTAATTTTCATTAATTTTTTATTTAAATGTTGATTTATTATTAAGTTGAAAGTGATTTAATTTTTAAAATTGTCAACTAAAATAATGTCATATGTATTTTTAGACAGGCGACAAGAAGTTATTTGAGTAGCGAAGTCAGCAGACTAAGTAAGAAACTTCGAACCCCTGTGAAGGGGTTAAAATTTGGACTAAATATAAGCCACATTTAAAGGAAAAGTTGGCATAAGATTAAGTTACCAAACAAATTTTAAATATTGATATTATATACTGTAATAGGATGTCATAATTGACAGCAATTTTACAGTTTTTCAATCTATGTTAGGTGTAACAAGTAAGAGGTTCTAGTCGGGAGCTCCCGACTAGGGGATACCCTGAACCCTCTTCTTCCAACAGGCGATAGGTATAAAATGAAAGATACTTGATATAAATATACTATTCTAGAAGCTACATGACAAGTTTGGTGAATCTAGCTCTTATTATTTACCAAAATTGCTCAAAAAACAGGATTTCGATATCGATTTTTATCGATTACTTGCAAACGGGGCAAGTTATCGAATATCGGAAACAAACTCGATCTGCGCGGGCACTAGGGGGACCCACAGTCAAAATTTCTCTAGCTCTTATATGTTCTGAGATCCTTGCGTTCATACATACGGACAGACGGATGGACGGACAGACGGACATGGCTAGATCGACTCGGCTGTTGATGCTGATCAATAATATATATAGTTTATGGGGTCGGAGAAGCCTGTTACATACATTTGCACAAATACATTATACCCTTTTTACCCATTTTTAATGGGTTCAGGGTATAAAATGTACCGATAAGAAGATAAATGTAATATCGATAAGGATATGGAGGCTGTCGATATGGAGTATGAAGACAATCTGTCGACAGCGTTAACAAAAGGACACAAAGAAAAAAGGAAAATAAATAAATATAAAAGACTTCTAAAATACTTTATATATTGTTATCGTTTTATTCTGCTCTTAGCTAATTCCTAATTACTATTTCAATTCACCATGAGCTTAAATTGATTTACAACGCAATAGACTCGAAATCATATTGCATAAAAATATGTTTCGTGAGCCGCAAAAAAAAATCGAATTCATTCATAAATCAAAATATCAGACACATATGAAAGAAGTAGGAAAACGAAAACCATTAAGGATAATATGACAATCGAAGCATTTTGTTAATATTTTCAGCATATTTCGACGACTGACCAAAACTGAAGGAAAAGAAAAGATGAAAAGCGAAAAAACATCAAAAACAAAACATGTTTCGGTCGATAAGTTTTCTGTTTTCGTCGTCAGTGATTTTTTTTTTTATTCTTTTTTGTAGCTGCTGTCGTCGTTTCCACTCGAGCAATTAATACGTGAGCAAACTGGAAAATACTTCAAGCAGCGAGCTGTCATCCAAGTGCAAAACAATGTTAGACCCCTGATGGACTGTTAAGGGGGGTGGAGAGCTTGGCGGATAGCGGGTGGGTTTGGGTTGAGAGATTTTAAGCGCAGACATAAGCCGTAAGCCATAAGACATTCATTCAATGTCGCGACGCGCCGACTGACGCCTCGACGTAAGTCGATATCCCAAAAAAAATACTTTCGTGAGGGCCTCTTCTTCTTTTTTTCCTTCTGGCTCCACTTAAGAGCACAAACCATAACCATAAAATCGTATTATGTGTATAGTTAGCAATCGTATTGCAATTGCGAAATCCAAACACGCCTCTCACATTGTCACATCGGGGCCTGGGCTATATTTAGAAGTATGTTGTTCCCCGATTCCCCTAACCGTTCGTTGTAATTATCGTGCGTGCGATTCATGATGATGTTGATGATTATCACAAAAGAAGAAATATAACACATTTTCCAGTGCATAATAAATTGTGAGACGGCTTTTCCTCAACATTATTGTGCAAATCTGCTCATATTTCAAGCAACCAAGCGGAAATCCTTTATCGTAGAGCAAAAATAACACCACCCCCACCCCCACCCCCTCCAGCTTATATGTACATATATTTGCTATATCATATAATACGCTTCACATTTTTGCAGCTCGTTAGATAGGCGACAGTATAAAGTTATTCATAGCATTTTTGTTGGTTGTTGTTGCTGCTATTTTACCACAGAACTAAATCATTGTTAGACCGACTTTTCTGTCTGGCTGTTTAGTTGGTTTTGGCCTTCTCTGGGCTGGCCTGGCCATACAATTGTGTGAAAGTTTTAATTGGATGCTTT